TGCAGCTCTGCAACTGCATCCTGGCCCATCCTCACCCTTCTGCCCCCAACCCTCACCTCCTTGTACCCCCAATATGTTTTTCCCAATAAAAAAAATTATAAAAAAAAAGAGTCTTAGGTTGTATATAACTTTAGGCTAGAAGATTTCACATGAACCATTAATGTTTTGTGTATTTGCAATATTGGCTAATTAATTAACTTTTCCTTGTGAAAAATAGCAAATTGTGTTTGTTAGTAGTTGTTGTTAGGTGCCACCAATTAAGTACAACTTATAGTGACCCATCAAGTTGAATACAACTCATAGTGACTCTATGAACAACTAATGTGAACCCTATCCTATCCTGTGCCATCTTCACACTTCCTGGCACACTAGAGCCCATTGCAGCAGTCACCATGTCAATCCACGTGCCCATAGGTCTTCCCCTCCTTCTCTTATTCTCCACCCTTCCTAGCATCATGTCTCTCTCTAAGGAACAGCCTCTCTTAGCAACATGTGTGAAGTATGTGAGGTGAAGCCTCATCATCATACTCGTTATGGTAGTCATCATTTATGTGTTCTTTTTCTTTAACAGAAAATTTCAAATCTAACAATGTGGATTGTCTGGCAAATATAACATGGAGTTCCAGTGGAAGTGATCTGTCGGACGAAGAAAAGGCAGTTTCTAAAACACCAAGTAATAATGTATATGGTTGTACAACAGAGAAATTTTGCCAAAAAACCTTGTGTTTAGATGAGACTAGTAAAGGTAAATTTCTAAGTTTCTATAAAATCTATTTTCTGTTATATTATTTTTGTTGTTACATGGTGTTGAGTTATATGGTGTCCATAAAGCTCTATGAACACTGGCTATGAATCTTGCTCTATCTTGAGCCAACTTCACCATTTCTAACACCTTTGACCCCATTCCCACAGTCACTGTGTCAATCCATCTCATCCAGCGTCTTCCTCTCCTCCACTGACCCTCTACTCCTCTAAACATGATGTCCTTCTCCAAAGACTGCTACCTCCTGGAAACATACCCAAACTATGTGAGACGGAGATTCAAAATCCTTGCTTCCAAAGAACAAACTGGTTTCACCTTCTCCAAAGCACACCAGTTTGTCTTTAGACTGACATCGTTGCACATTAGCACTCTGCAGAGATCCTTGACATCATCTTGTCTTTTGACTTCCTGACTGTTAAAATATGTATACCAAGTTGTTGTTATTAGGTGCCATCATGTTGATGTTGACTCATAGTGACTACGTACACCTGATCTGAAACTTTGCCCTATGTTGCACCATCCTCACAATCTTCACCTTGCTTAAGCCCATTATTATAGTCACTGTCATTGCATCTTGTTAATGGTCTTCTTCTCTTTCTCTGGTCCTACACCTTTGCCTGCATTATATCTTTTTCTAAAGACTAGCCCCTCCTGACAAAATAGTTCAAGTAAGTGAAAAGCTTCACCATTCTTAACACCCTGCTTGCCCATTAAGAATGGTGTTGGACTTTATTAAGTGTTTTTTATTATATCCACCGAGATGTCTTGTGTGCTTCTTTTCCTTTGTTCTGTTGGTGTGATACGTTGTGTATATGGATTTTCTAATGTTTAAACATACACACACATATCTTTTTTGTTGTTGTTGTTGTTTCGTGCCATTGAGTATGAATCATAGCTACCCTGTGAACAACAGATATGAACCCTGTCCTATTCTTTGTCCTCATCATTTCTGATTTACTTGAACCTGTTGTTTTAATCACTGTGTCAATCCATGTCATTGAGGGTCTTCCTCTCTTTTGATGACCCTCTACCTTTCCCAGTATGAAGACTTTTTCCAAGAATTGGCCCTTCCTAACAACATCATTCCCAAAGTTTGAGACAAAGTTTCTCCATCTTTTGCTCTAAGGAGTACTCTGGTGGCCCTTTCTACAAGACATATTTGTTCTTTTATTAGTCTGTGAGATATTCAAGACTCTTCTCCAGCATCACAACTCAAAAGCATTGATGATTCTTCCATCATCTTTATTCACTGTCCAACTTTCAGATGCATAATAAGTAATTGAAAAGACTATGGCTTGAATCAAAGACACCTTAGTCTTGAAACTAACATCATTTCTCCTTAGCACCTTGGAGAGGTCCTTGATGGCAAATTTAACAAATACAATGTGGTTTTTTATTTCTTAATTATTAGTGCCAGGGATTTTGAGTGTGGATACAGGTGAGATGAAATGATTGATACATTTAGTCTTTTCTCCATCTATTACAGTATTGCCCATTAGCCCAGTGGTGGGGGATTCTATTCTTCTCTTCTTGAAGTTGAGATATAATCCATATTGAAGGCTATAGGAAAGTGTATCTATGTTTCATTGACTATGAAAAGGCAATGTATGGACTACAACAAATTGTGGGTGACCTTGAGGAAAATGGAAATCCCGGAACACTTGATTGTGCTTATGCAAAACATATTCTTAAACCAGAAAGCAGTCCTCAGAACAGACCAAGGAGATACTGCATGGTTCAAAATCAGGAAAGGAGTGCATCAGGGTTGCATCCTGTCTCCATACCTTTACAGTTTGTATGCAGAACAGATGATTCAGAGCCTGGGCTTTATGAGGAGCAATGTGGCATCAGCATTGGAGGAAGACTCATCAACAACCTGTGTTATGCACATGACACAACCTTGCTTGCTGAAACTGAGGGGGACCTGAAGCACTTGCTGCAGAAGGTCAAGGACGGTAGTCTTAAATATGGATTCGAAGACAAAGAATCTTACCTCTGAGCCAATTGGCTGCACCATGATAGATGGACAAAAGATTGAGGTTGTTAACAGTTACAGCTTGCTCAGCTCCACAGTCAACACTCTTGGCACCAGCACTCAGGAAATCAAAAGGGAAATTGTATTGGGAAAATCTGCTGTCCGGGACCTCTCCAGAGTGCTGTAAAGCAATGGTGTCAGCCTAGAGACTAAGGTGAGCCTAATCCAGGCCATGATCTTCTCATTTACTTGCTATGCGTCAGAGAGCTGGACTAAGGATGACAGTAGAATCTATACCTTTGACTTGTGGTGCTGGAGAAGAGTTGTGAACATACAATGGACTGCCAAGAAAACACATAGGTTGTCTTGGAGAGGGTGAACCAGTTTTCTCCTTGGAGACAAGGATTTTGAAGCTCTGTCTCACATACTTTGGGCATGTGGCCAGGAGGAACTGGTACTTGAAGAAGGATATCAGGCTCGGAAGGATAGAGGGACAGAGAAAGGGAAGAAGACCTCAGATGAGATGGATTGATACAGTAACTGGGGCAGTGGAGGTAGGTGTGTAGGAATCAGTGAGACAAGCTCAGGACAGGGTAGGCTTCAGAGTTGCTGTACATAGGGTCACTATGAGTCACAGGAGACTCAGTGACACATAACAACGGTAAATCCTTGATGTTCCACAGCAAGCATTTGAAGTCCTCATCCCTTTCAGCAAGCAAGTTGTGTCACCTGCATAACACAGGTAGTTGATGAGTCTTGCATCAGTCCTGATACCACATTGTTCTTCACAGATTCCAGCCTCTGGAATAATTTACTTGGCATACAGACTGAATAAGTATGGAGAAAAGATGCAGTCCTATTGCAGATCCTTCTGAATTTTAAACCTTGTAGTGTTTTATTGTTCTGTTCAGACAACAGCTTCTTTTACTATGTATAGGATTCACATGAGCACAATTAAGTGTTCTGGGATTCCTGTTCTTCTCAATGTTAGCCATAATTTTTTTTAAACCATAATTTTTTTTTTATCTGCACAGTCAAATGCTTTTGCATAGTCAATAAAGCATAATAGATATCCATTTGGTATTCTCTGCTTTCAGCCAAGATTCATCTGACATTAGCAGTGACATCGCTGGTTCCATGATCAATACTAAATCCAGCTTCAATTTCTAGTCATTCTTTTGTTGATGTACTGTTTTAGCTGGGTTAGGTTTTTGTTTGTTTTTATAATCTGCAGTAAGATTTTACCTGAATATGTCTTTTAAATTTTATTGGGAAAAACATGTTGGGGATACACGGAAGTGAGGGTTGGGAGCAGAAGGGTGAGGATGGGAAGGGATGAAAATTGCAGCAATGCAGTTGCAATGCTGCACAATTTGGTTGGTGGGAGTAGCAGGTGAAGGAAATGAAAAGGATCCAGTGGGGACCAGAAGACTCAGGGCAATGGTAAGCATAGTCCAATGGCGATTAAACAAACTGCCTTTTTCACTTGTGGGTTTCTCATTTGGGAATTGGGTGCAGACTCTCTGACTTCTTCATGCTGAACAGGGGCGTTGATGTGAAGGGAAAAAGGGAGCACACTTTACCACCTTAATGGTGGTCTTGGGTTGAAGCTGCTTGCATTCTTGTTCTGTTAGAAGATGTTTTCCTGACATTTACTCCCCTCTGGACTGCACAGTGTTTTCCCAGGTGGGTCCAGTGGGGATGACTGACTGAACCCTGAAGCTCCATACTCCTTTGCTTCCTTAACTGGCCATTGTATTTCCTTTTTGTCTCTGGAACTGGGTTCAGGGTCAGGTCTGGAGTAAAATTCAGTGTTAAGGTTACCTATCAAAAAGGGAGAAAATCTAGAAAGAACGAACTAGTGAGTTCCAAATAGAAGGGCTTTGGGGGTGTTACTTACGGGTGTACTGGGAGAGAGGGTGGAGGAAAGTAGCCTCGATAAAATTCTCTGTATATCTTAGGCAGTATTTTTTCCTACCCAGGGGTCGGATGGTACAATCTGAGGGCTGAGGAGTTCACCCCAAGTGCCGGCTTGCCCTGCTGGGGGCCAAATGCAGGGCTTCCCCCACTGCCCACCTGGGGTCCTAACAAACCGCCTGCCCTGAGGGCCGGATGGCAACTTTCACAGGCTGGGCGACACACCCCCGGGGCTGGCTGGCACACTTCCCCCCCAAATCTTTCCCCCTTCAAATTCCCCCCCCAAGTCCAGATCCTCCCTGAAGACCATGTAGCCAGAGAAAGCATCCCCAGTTCCAGTACCGCTACCATTACCCACCCCCATAAGTGGTCATACTGTAATTTGAAGTAGGTGTCACTGCCCTCCCCCTTTTTATATGGAGAAGGGGGCCTGAGAGTAGTGAATAGACCCCCTACCCCCCCAGGTCGAAACAGTTCTTGGCAAAGGCAGATAGCAAATCAAAAGATGCGGTGTATTGAGGATATCTGTGGTCTCGGACATGCTGCCACAGTTAAATGTTGTTGAGTCGTAAATAGCTCACAGAGACTCTCATCAATCCATTGTACTGTTAATCTTCCTCTCTGGCCTGCCCAGGGAAACCCCATCCTGCTGCCCTGTCTCTCGCTGCCGCCATCTTGACTCAAAGAATTCTCCCCAGACCAGTCCACTCTGCTGCAGTGTGGCGGCTCCGGGGTGGGGGTGGGGGAGCGGTGCCTACTATCCATCTTGGGTGAGGGGATCCCTGGGGTCCAGCGGTGGGAGCCTCATGGAGCTGCTGCGGCCGAGCAAGCTTGGCAGCAGGTGCCTGGGAGCTGCAGGACTCACCCATTCTTCCCTGGGAATCCTTGATCTCCTGATGTTGAGCCTCGATCCGCACTGAAGACCAGCCATCAAGTATTTAATGTTCAATTATCAGTAAACAGAGGTCCGTAGAAGGCCATGGTGGCCCTCTTCTATGTGGTCAGCTGCTCCTGCAGC